GCAACGCGGCTTCATAGTAGTGTAGATTAGTCCTGAACCCAGTACCCTGAACACTGATCTAACCAATATACACCACACCTTCCCTTATTGTAGTAGATTCCTTGGTGTCAACATGTGTTGACATGTTGAGCCTGCAGGAATTCATATGAAGCTATGCAAACTGTGGCCTGGTCCCCACTAAGCCCCCACTTCGGACTAAGGTACGCAAATTCAGCTACGTTAATAACGTAGCTGAATTCGAAGTACCTTAGTCCGAACTTACCGCGGGTCCAGACGCGGCAGGAAGGCTCCCCCGTCGATGCCGCGTACTCCTCTCGGCGAGCTGGAGTACCGGCGTCGACTGCGAGCACTTCCAGGATCGATCCCAGAACATCGATTACTTACCGCCGGACCCTCCGGTAAGTGAAGACGTACCCTGTTACATTACAGATTCTTGTTTCCCCTAAGCCCACAAGGGTAGGAAAAGTCAAGAGGTCACTCTGAAACAAACAGACTGTCATTTTGCTCAGAAGGTTCACTCCATAATGCACAGGTAATATTGGTGACTCACAACACAACATTGCATTGCAGCAGTGCAGAGCCTGATTCCACTCGCATTGGAATTATTATTATTATTATTATTTCTTAATTGTTATAATCATCGTTGTCATCACAGTAGCACCTAGGAGTTCCAGTCATGGACCAGGACCCATTTGTGCTAAGCACTGTACAAACGTGGAATGAAAAGAACCCTAAAGAGTGTACAGTTTAAGAAATGAAGGAGCATCTTGCCATTGTCTTAAGTGCAAGCAGGATTGACCTGGTGACAGAGCAGGAAACTTCACTATGAACTTATTCACTAGATGAGGGCTTAAATCAGAATCATAACTTTATTTTTATGTCATTTATTGTGGTCTAATACCCTCTTTTATTTTTTTTTTTACAGTCGTATAAAATGTATAAAGAAACCTAATCTGTTAGGGAGGTGTATGAGAATTTACTCTTACAGATTTTAATGGATACTTTATGCAGCTGTAAAACACAGAGAAGCTATATTAGCCATTTTAGCTAGACTAGAAACTTTAAATGTTATATAAATATATTTATTATAGTCAAAGGTTTATAGCTGTAAGCATCTCCCTCCTAGTGTTTAATTAGCTCTTGTATTTCTCAGACATCTATGGTTAAAATCTGTTCCACTGGGGTTCAAGAAAGAATTAAAAGTTGGAGAGAGGAAGCTATATTCTGCTTTCAGTTATGGTTGTGTAAATCTGAAGTACCTCTATTGACATTAATGAAGTTACACTGCTATAATTCCAGATTAATTGAGGGCCGACTATGGCATATAATGACAGGGAAAGAGTTCAATTCTGCTCTCATTTCCACTGGTTTAATTTGGAGTAACAGCGCTGAAGTCAATGGAATTATTCCTGATTTCCACCCATGTAAATGAGAGCAGAATCTGACTCCAGACTTATTGGGCTTTGGATCTATCCCTCAATGCATTTAGCAATTTCAGACCTTCTCATTCTATACTGGAGATAAGCAGTATTTGCCTGTTGTTGTTTAGCGTGTGAGTTCATATGGGCCAGATACTCAGCTGGTATAAATCAATGTAGCTACATGGATTTCAATATAGTTGCACTGATTTACAAAAGCTGAGGATCAGCCCATATACTGTGAAAATTGCTAAACTGAATGTTAGTCTGCCCTTAGCTCCTAACATATTGTGTACTGTGTTTACCTGACTTTTCTTAAAAAACTTGAAAACTTGTTTTAAATCATTACAAGCTCAGTCCCCAGTGATGCTGAGTGACGTTACAGTGGAGTTGAATTTGCCCTAGGATGTTTGCAAGTGAGCAAAATCAGCATCCTTCTGATTTTGCAAATCTCATCAGTCAGTTATAGATTTTACACAGCCAAATCAAGCGTACTTCATAGCTTGATCCGTTTAGCCAAACCCCCGAATATGAAAGAGCTTAAATAGATAGTTTCAGCTTTTGCTCATCTCTAGTGTTGCATGTGTTGGCTTTATGCTGTGTTAATACTCAGGCACTTTCAAGAGAGATTTTCCCTTCTTTCTTTTATGCAACATTAAAAATAAAAATTGAGAGAATTGAGGAATAATATACTCCCTCTAATGAAACTACAATAATTTATTCTATTTAATCATTTAACCCCTGCCACTGTGGCATTGAACAGGAGGCTATGTGTCTATGTAAAACAATATATGTGTGTGTGTGTGTGTGTGTGTTTGTATATCTGTCTATAGCGTCTTTGTGTTTTTATTAAGAGAGGTCAAACTGAAAAAAATTAAGAGAGAACACTTGCAAAACATACATCTCCAGTTCTTTCAATTTCCTGCTGGATTGTCTTAACTACCTCTGTGTTTTCTCTTCCATCTCAGTTGGAAGGATAACTTGTGTATTTGTCTGGTCAGCACTGGAGCCAAAGATGTTGTAAGACTCTGCATGTGTGTCTCCTGGGATGTTCTTTTTAATATAATATCAGTATATTTTATGCAAATACACATAAGCAAAAAAAAATAAAAATCCGAAGAACAATGTCATGTGTATCTTACATTATAATACATCAGGGTGGCATTACTATTCTACCTCTGTTGAATTTTTTATAGCTTGCCTGTGTGGTGGCCTATAGCAGTCCTAGGGGTTGTATTCTCACCGGCCCTCACAGAGCCATGGTTTGTGCTTGAGAGTCTCTTTCATTCTCTCATCACAAACAAATCACAGGGACTGATGCTGCAATCCAGTGAAGTCAATGGGAATTCTATATAGGTAGTGATTTAAGCACTGGGCCACTATTTCCTGATCCTGCAAGCTATCCATATGAGTGGAGACTGCACCTGCATGGAGCCTCCCTGAAATTAATGGGTCTCCATGCGGCTATATCTCATGAATCAATTTGCAGGACTCAGACCATAATCTCTACCTGTTCCCAGTGGTGGGGCAATAGAATTTCACTGTTCCTCATTTGTTTCCACTCTGACATTGTATTGTTTGCTGTTGATTGCTATTTTTGCTCCACAAATAAAGGTAAATTAGATTTTAAGAACACTATTTAGCAGGAAAAACTGTTAGTTTAGGCTCCAAATTCTAGATCTTGTTCAAAAGTTGTATACAACCAAATAGCAATAAACATATTTCCATTAATTTTGTAAAAATTAACATTCAGTGAAAAAAGATTTTATTTTGTTTGTATTTAAATGTTTCTCTACAGTGTTTGCAATCCAGGCTTTGCAGCACGGTGTCAGAGTACGAGATATCAGAAAGTGACACTGACATACTCATTTTCATGGCTCAAACTGAAGGAAATGCAAAAAAGTAAATAAATAGATACCATGTACATATTGATGAGCAAATTAGATTTTAAAATTGGTTTCCTTTTTAATAGCATAAGGTATCACTAGCAAAACAGGTGAAGAATTTTATAAGTGATTATTTTTATACTTATTTTTTTATTAAAGATATATATAATTGTTTACACTTTGTTATTTACTTAAAGTATATAATTTAAGGCCTGAGTCCTGCAAAGACTTGTGAACATGCTTAACTTTGTGAGTAGTCCAACTGACTTTGCAGAGAATAAAGCTAAGCATATGCATAAGTCTTTGCAGAATCAAGGCCTAAGTGACTACAGTAGAGTTGAGGAGGTTATGAATTACAGCTACTATGCATATTATTATTTTAAATGTTATATCAGTGGTTTATTTTGTATCAGTTCATCCCATCTGCCCATCTTTTTTCAAATTGTTAGTTAATTAAATACAGGAAGGCATTTCTCTTAATTATTTTATTCTGGGCGGCCATGTTTCTATACATGAGATTTGTTTTGCGAATGGAGAAATAACCTACATCACAAAGGCAGAGACTACCTCAAACAGAAAGAAGGGAAATTGTCTCTATGTATTTTTTTAGCTAGGTAGGGTAGGCCCAAACTCCAAATAAAATGAAATGTCCAATAATAAATAAGCCTTATAAACAGCATGAAAGGACCATAATTGTAAAATCCGTTCATTCTGCCAAATATGCCTAACACACTGGAGCGTCCATTATAGGGTTGCCAACCTTCCCGGATTGGCCTGGAGTCTACCAGATTCGGCATTGATCTCCTGGTGACTGTTGAAAGCAATCCTGAAGATTTTAATAGGCTTTTAAAAGTCCGGTCAGTGGTGCAGTGGAGCTAAGGCAGGATCTTTACGTGCCCTGGCTCCGCGCAGCTCCCAGAAGCAGCCAGCATGTCTGGCCCCTAGGTTCAGGGGCAGCCAGGGGTCTCCACATGCTGCCCCCACACCAAGCGGCAGCTCTGCAGCTCCTATTGGCCAGGAACCGTGGCCAATGGGAGCTGCATGGGCGGTGCCTGTAGGCACGTGGAGCCACCTGGCTGCCCCTGAGCCTAGGAGCCAGCGGGACATGCCACAGCTTCCAGGAGCCGCCTGAGGTAAGTGGCCAGAGCCCGCACCCCTCACCCCTTCCCACACCCCAACCCTCTGCCCCAGCCCTGAGTCCCCTCCTACACTCAAACTCCCTCCCAGAACCTGTACCCCAAGCCCCCTCCCACATCCCAACTCCCTGTCCCAGCCCTGAGCCCCCTCCTGCACTCCAAACACCTCAGCCCCAGCCCAGAGCCCCCCTCCTGCACCCTAAACCCCTCATCCTTGGCCCCAGCCCAGAGCCCGCATCCCCAGCCAGAGCCCTTGCCTTCTCCCGCACCCCAACTCTCTTTCCCAGCCCTGAGCCCCCTCCCACACCCCAAACCCCTCATTTCTGACCCCACCCCGAAGCCCGCACCCGCACCCCAGCCCCCTGCCCCAGCCCAGTGAGGGGGGAAGGGCAGGGTCTTGAAGAAGGGGCAGGGGAGGGGCATGGCCTCGGGGAAGGGGCAGGGCAGGGGGCGGCACAAAGGTGTTCAGTTTTGTGCAATTAGAAAGTTGGTAACTCTAGTCCATTAGTCATGCTCCCTGCTAGAATTCACTTTGCGTATGTGTTTTCTTTCCTTCACAGAAAGAATGTGCTAATTTCATCAAGGTGCTTAAAGCTTACAACCAGACTCACTTGTACGCCTGCGGAACTGGGGCTTTTCATCCAGTTTGCACCTATATTGAAATTGGACGACATCCTGAGGTAAAAACAGGATTTTTTTATACTTTTTCTTTAAGAAAAAACCCAAAAGCCTCACCTTTACTGATGTTTAGCCATGACCTTTTCCAGCCAAAATGGATCATTACTAATTTCTGCAGCGCATTGAGTTGCTGGATTACTGTGGCTGCCATAGGTCAACTTCTGATTCCAGTGTGTTCTGATTTACACAGTATTAAACCAGAAGCTGGGAATGGGTGACAGGGGATGATTGATGATTACCTTTTCTGTTCATTCCCTCTGGCATTGGCCATTGTCGGAAGACAGGATACTGGGCTAGATGGACCTTTTCTCTGACCCAGTATGGCCGTTCTTATGTTTATTACCTGCCCCCCAAAATTAAACAAATAAAACCACACCTGCTTTGTCTGGTTTATAAAATCAAATGTGCTTCCTTTTTTTGTTTGGGACAGATATCAGCTATCTGAGGATACAATATTATCAACACCTTTGTTCTAGTGCCAGCTTTGTCCTCCAGGTCTCTTCCCAGTCAGTAGAGTCTGACACTGCAGCAGCTTTCTCCCATCGGGGAATTAAGACACAATGCCACACAAGCATATTTCTCAGCTCTCCAGTTTGTCCTGACACACTGACAGTTTTGCTGGCTCAAATGAGGCCTGGTTTTCGTTTTCTTACCCTCGCCCCTGCTATCCCTCCCCTTGCTTTTGTTATTTATTTGTTGAATGCCCATATTGTGCTCTGTGTGGCAGAAAGCATGGAATAGACTCAGAAGAGCTCATTCTACTTTTTAACTAAATATAAACCTGATGGGCCAGATCCTCACTGGTGTAAATCAGTGTTGCTCCACTAAAATCAACGGAGCTATGTTGTTTTACATAGCTGAGGCCTTGGAGGATGGGGACAGTGTCTTAGATTTGATTCATTTTCTGCTTTGTTCTTTCCTAAAAGGTTAAACTTTTATTGTAATATTAGCATAAGTCTATAATATAAGGGAAGCCACTTTGCCTTTGTTCTCTATGTGGCTTATGTGGCTATTGCTCCCTGGATCCTTTCAATTCATAGAATAAATTCACTTGCTGTGTTCTCAGCCATCACTTGTTTAATTTATGGAGCTGAGGGGGGAGGTGCTGTTGTTTCTGGGGTGCGGGGGAGAATCCATAGTTGTGTTACATTGACTTGCTCTGATCAGTGAAGCAAAATTATTAGAGTCACCTCATGGAGTTGACATTCAGGATTGCAGATTGCCAGGAAAATAAAGACATCTTTGTTTAAATGAATGACCCTCAATCATTTAAAAATTGGATTCTGCTTCTTATAGAAAAAATAACAGATTCTTTGAGTGATGACTTAGCAGTCTGGGAGTGATTTTTCCCTACAAAAATGTCTTTTAATATTCAAAACATGCATCCTTCTTAATGTTCTAAGCATAAGGTTTTGGGAGAGATGAGGGGAGTGCTTAGTGGAAGGATTTGGGGCTCTTTAAGGCTTGTAGTCTTGGCAATTAGTGATTGTCTCTTGACCACACACAGTATGCCATTGCTTACTGCATTAAGCAGATTCTTTGCTTCCTGAGATCCATTTGGGAATTGGTAGACATATTAATTAACTCTAGTTCCGTAAGATGTGTGTCAATCAATTCTTGGCTATCTGCCAGTTGTAGCTATCTGTGGAGAGATAGCAAGCATGAGGTCATTTACTTTTACATTTGGCTGTTTTATGAGCATACAGTAAAACTCACACACTTTATCAAGGATTTATGGAAAGGATGATCAGAGACTAGGGACCAGATCCAACCTTGGGGTAACCCCACTGACTTTGACATTGGGATGAATTTGTCCCTAGAATTGTAGCCACTTATTTGCATTTGCTTCTTTTTGATTAACTGTAATTACCAAGAGGGTCTAAATCCTTGAGTTGGCTGTCATTTGGTCCTCCTGAGCCTGAACACCGCCCTCAGGCTGTAACCTCACAATCCAGTCAGAGTAAGGGGCAGTATGTAGCATCAGTGCTGAAACTAGGGGTACTGGAGGTGCTACTGCACCCCCTGCCTTGAAGTGGTTTCCATTATATACAGGGTTTACAGTTTGGTTCAATGGATCTCAGCACCCCCACTATGCAAATTGTTCCAGTGGCATGTAACTGTGCTGCCTCAGAAGCAAGACGTTGACTCTCACCGTTTAATTCATCAGACTGAACATGCTACCCGCAAACATACATAATCTAATAAATACATTGTGAGTTATACCAGTTTCCTGGGAAAGGCAGGATCTTGTTTAAACCTGTTCCAGATTTGGAAAGGAATAGTTGAAGCACTTAGAGAGAAAAATAACACTGATTTCTGAAAAGACTCCCTTTAAAATGCCAAGACTAGAGCCAGACTCAATAAAACGAGAGACCCAAAGAGGCAGCAATCTCCCCACAACTCTTTTATAAAGGTTTCTAGAGAGAAACGTAGGCCTCTGTCTTGCTCCCATTAAAACAAATGGCAAATTTCCCGTTGACTCCAGTGGGAGCAGGATCAACCTCTTAGTGGTATTACCCTTATTATTATAAATCACTGTGAGTCAGACAGTGCCATGAAGGAACAAACCATAAGTACAGGGAGGCACAGAGCGGCACTAACCCAGGAGGCATGTCTGGCCAGCTGCAATGGGGGCGAGAGCAAGACTTGGTCGTCTCATTGTCCTCTTTGGGGTAGCTTGTGCCCCACAGGTTGCAAGCAGGAGCAGTCCTTGTGCTGAGAAGATGCAGGAAACAATTCTACCTGGTCCTTGCATTGGGGGTGGAGGGCGTGAGATGTCTCCCTGCACCCTCCCCCATCTCTTGCACACTCAGACAGGCAGTACAAAATAGTGAGCCAGATCCACAACTGGTGTAAATAGGTGAAACATTATTGACTTTATCAGAGAGAAGCTGATTTACACCAACCATCCCCAGCATCCTTAATTGTCTCCTCCCCAAACTCTTGTGATTGTTCATCTGATTAACAATCATCTTTAACAGTATGAACCTAAAAGATCTGGGATCACTTTGTTTCGCAGGTCATTTCTCATCCTTACTCGATAAAGGAGCTCTACATTTAGTTCAGATTTATGATGTATATAAAACTTTAAGTTATTGCATCTGAAATTATATAATGCTACCACCTGTAACATATTTGCTTTTTCCGGTTTCTGTGCATTTAAAAAAGCTTTGGTACAACTCATAAAATGTTGTTAAATTATAACTTCCACTATGTTCCCCCCCCCCACAATACATCACATTAGAAGAAGTCCAGAGTGCACTTTTCCAAGTAATGGGCATCCTGTTAAGATACATTTAAATCATGTTTTCCTACAGCAATGGAGGACCACCGCTCTCCTAAGGAGAGTGTCTAATGGCATTGGCAGAAGTGATTGTAGCACATGTAGGCATACCTAAGCTACCTTTGATCAAACTAGCTTGCTCAATATCACAGTGAAGCCACAGCAAGACAGGCTCTCCATCCACGTCTGTACCCAGGGTCCCAGACACTTAGCCCGTGCCTCCGACCGTGCTGTTGTAGCTTCCCTGCTATTTTTCGCAACTGATCAAAGCTAGTTCAGGAATGCCTAAGCATGCTTCAGTCACACCTCGGTGTAGACACACTCCAAGGGGAACACAGTGATTGAGAAATGTGAGTTACTGTTGGTAGAAAAGCAAACACGATGTTTCATCATCTAATACAAAGCATGGGGCAATAAAATGACTTCATTGGGAGCAGATGTGGCATAAATGGCATAGCTTCATTGACGACCATGGAGCTACACAAGTTTATATCAGCTCAGGATCTGGCCTGTGGTTTTTAAGTGAAACATTTGAGCAAATGATGTTTTTAATTGTAAGTTAAGGCTCATCTGAGCGTAAACTTTCTAACTTGCTTTCTGTCCAATTAAAAGTATGTTCATATGACATTCATAGTGCTCTCCAATTATTGGAAAAACAGAGTTATATTCACAAATGCAAAAGAACAGGATCTGAAGCTCCTCCATGATATTAGAGTTCTAGTCATAATTATAGTTACTGGGAGATGCCAGCAAAAGAAGCTGTTGTTTTGCTAAAAAATGGTATCAATTACTTTTAATATAG